CTCCCCAACTGCTATCTTGTCCTGAATAAAATGACAATCAACCTCAATATGTTTGATTTTCTCGTGAAACACTAGATTGACAGCGATATGGATAGCTGTTTGGTTGTCACAGAACAACTGTAAAGGAGGTTGAACTGGAAACCCAATTTCCTGGAGAAAGTGTAGTAGTCAAGTCAACTCACTCATCGTATGCGCTATTGCCCTATACTCAACTTCAGTACTGGATCTTGCTACCACAAATTATTTTTTATTTTTCCACAAGACAACTTTACCCCCTAAGAAAGTACAATAACCAGTGGTTGATCTCTGATCAGAAGGAGAGTCAGCCCAATCAGCATCTGAGAAACCTTCCACTCTAAGTTATCCATTAGCTCGATATAGCAGTCCAAGTCCTGGAGCTCGATTCAAATATCACAAAATACGAATAACTGCCTTCCAATGTGGTACTCTAAGACACCCCATGAACTGACTTACTATATTGACTGCATAGAAAATATTTGGTCGAGTAATAATGAGATAATTAGGCTTCACAATCAATCTGCAATACCAATCCGGATTCTCAAACAGTGCACCATCATCCATCAATAATTTCTGATTTGGATCCATAGGAACATCAATCGGTCTGCCACCCAACAAACCTGCTTCATCTAGCATATCAAGTACATATTTTCTTTGTGATAAACAAATACTTTATTTAGATCGAGCCACTTTAATTCCCAAAAAATACTTGAGTTTTTCTAAATCCTTAGTATGAAATCGATCTTGCAAGAAGATTTTTAACTTGTCAATCCTCTCAGAATCATTTTCAATAATCACAATATCATCTACATAGACTACCAATAAAACATATCCAGCATCCGTCTGTCTATAAAACATAAAAATGATCTGTCTGACATCGAAGAAGACCAAACTCTAAAACTACATCTGAAAATTTATCAAACCATGCCCGTGATGACTGCTTCAAACCATACAAACATTCTTTAACCGACATACACTCTTACCATACTCCCCCTAAGCAGTAAACCCAAGTGGCTACTCCATGTATACCTCTTCAACCAAGTCACCATGTAGGAAGATATTCTTGACGTCTAATTGAAACAAGAGCCAATCAAAATTAGTAGCCAAAGAAATCAAGATACAAACAGGAAAAATTTTGGCAACAGGAGATAAAGTCTCCTCATAATCAACACCATAGATCTAAGTAAAACCCTTTGTAACAAGTCGGGCTTTGAGACGCTCAACAGAACCATCTAGATGAAATTTAACAGTATATACTCAACGACAACTAACAGTTCGTTTACCAGGAGGTAAAGGAACGAAATCCCAAATCTCATTATGATGTAAGACATCCATCTCATCCTCCATAGCTTTTCTCCAACCCGGATCAGATAATGCATCCTGTAAATACTTAGGAATAGATATAGTAAATAATTGAGAGGTAAAATAAGAGAAGACAGGCAACAAGGCATCATATGAAATAAAATGAGCAATGGAATAATTTGTAACACACGAATGAGTACCTTTTTGAAGAAAATGAGTAAAGAGTCTAAATTATCTGATGGACCAGGATCAGAAGGCGGCAAGGAAGACGGTACGGGCACCTTAGTCGATGGTCGAGGACGAGAGTATACACGAAGAGATAAAGTAGATGGTAACACAGTGGATAGCAAAATATTTGAAAATGAAGGAAGAAATGGTGGTACAAGAGATGATCCAAAGGCTGAGAATGTGCTGTATGGAACAGATTCCTCAAACATGACATTGACACTAGTAAAGTATCGTCGTAGAGAAGGACTGTAGCAACGATACCCCTTCTGTGTGCGAAAATAACCACGAAATACACATTTGGTAACTCGAGGATCAAGTTTATCAAACCTAAGACCCAAATTGTGAATATAACAGACACATCCAAAAACTTTAGGATTTATGAAAAATAACGACTTCTCAGAAAAAATGACAGAATATAGACTTTGCCTATTTAACATAGAAGATAACTTACGATTAATAAGGTGACAAACAATAAGAACATCATCACTCTAAAAATATCAAAAAATATTTATCAAGAATAACAGGACACGGGTGACTTCCAACAAATGACAATTATTGTGTTCAACAATATCTTTTTGTGAACATGTGTAAGCACAGGAAGTCTGGTGAATAATATCAGTTTTACTAAAATAAGCTGAAAAAGGATCAGATTCATATTCACAAGCATTATTAGAACGTAAAATATGTATACGACACCCATACTGAGTTTTTATTTTCTTATGAAAGGTCTCAAATATAGAGAATAATTCAGACCGAACTTTCATCAGAAACAACCAAGTCACACGAGAATAGTCATCCACAAATGACATAAAATAAGAATATTTATTAGATAAAATATTCCTTATTGGATCCTATACATAAGAATGTACCAACTCAAATAGACTAGACACACGATTATTGACTCTAGATTGAAATGGCACACGGTGATGCTTACTAAGTTGACAACCTTCACAAGACAAAGACGACACACAATTAAGACTGAGAACTTGGCGCTTCAGATTCTGGAAAAAGGGATGTCCAAGACAACAATGTCATTGAAAAGGAGATAACGAAGTTTATAGAGCCTGAGTAGGTGAATCAAATCAAAGTAATATAGGCCACCAGCTTCATGTCCCATACCAATCTTCCTCTTCGTCTTGAGATCCTGAAAGACTCAATAAGAGGGATAAAAGGTTACGGAACAATTCAAAGAACGGGTAATCTTACTAATGAAAAGTAAACTAAAAGGAAACTGAGAAACAAATAACATGAAAGATAGGGACATATCAGGACTCAAGTGAGTAGTCTCCAGACCTGCAACTTTAGAACAAGTACCATTAGCAAGAGTAACACTACATGTGGAAGTAGCAGACTGATAAGTAAAAAAAATATTAGACGCACTAGTCATGTGGTTAGAAGTGTCAGAGTCTATGATCCAGGGAGTGCAAGTGGAGGACAATAAACAAGTGGAAGCAATACCTGACTGGGCAAAAGTAGCAGTGGAGAGAGATGGGATAGCATGTTGCTGGGACAGGAACTGAGCATACTCCTCTCGTGTAATAGTAACCAACCTAGTGTCTGGTGGAGCTGACTGAGAAATGAAAGCAATACCAGAGGTGTCATCCTGATAAGAAACCTGATTCGCAGCACTAAAGGATTTTCCATGTAAATCCCAACAAATATCAACAGGGTACCCTCCATGGCCACAATGAGTACAGGAATGAGGTCCATTACGGCCCCCACGACCTCCTGTACGACCTCTTCTACCACCACGATCACCTTGATGACCATCACTGTGGTTACTAGGAACCACAAAAGTTGAGCGATCAGTGAGGACACCATGATTGATGCCTGAAATAGACAAAGTAGCACGCTGTACACGAGAGAAAACCTCAAGTAATGAGGTAAGACTAGAACCACCCAAAATCTGAGGACAAATAGCCTCATACTCAGGTTTCAATCCTACCAAAAACCTAACAACATTCATGTCTTCATGTTGCTTCTGTCAAACTGCTGCATCAGTAGTAAACGGATGACAGGTCTTTATCCCCTCATAGACTCCTCAAACGTGAGAGTAATAATCCTCAATGCTCAGAGTACTCTATTCCAGCCGGAAGTACTCCTTGCATACCTCATAAGCTCAGGTAAAGTTACCTATATCAGAATACATAGTGGCCAAGTGATCTCATATCTCCTTAACAACGTCAAGATAAAGCAAAATAGAACTAATACTAGGCTTAATGCTATTCAATTCTAAAGAGATAATCTGAGCGTCTTCTTGTTCCCACTGATCATACCCAGGAGTATCTTCCTTGGGTTTAAGGTTAACCAAATATTCCTTAAAACCTTTGCCTCAAAGAAAGACTTGAGCAAAGTAGGATCATAAAGTATAATTAGTCACGTTGAGTTTAATAGAGGTCATGGGACCATTGATAAGAGTCAGAGAAGAAGAGGTAGGTGGCAAAGATAAAGCAGGGGAATTACCATTAGCACCTTGCTTAGGTTCCATAGCAGTGTAGCAAATGGAAAAAAAAAAGAAGAAATCACTAGATCACTGACCCGGACAAGAATTACCTACTCCACTACTGAACCGAAGAAGAAAAGGTTGCTGGATCCCCAAGCCGGGTCTTAGAACCTAACTGGAGCGCTGAACTAGACTAAAGAAGTCCACTAGACCGTTGAACCAGACTAGAAAAGTCCACTAGACCGCTGAACCAGAGACAAAACAGATGGATCCTGCCTGAACCGGTCTAAAACTGACTGATCCGGTCTAAAACAACGGACCGGTCTAAATTGCCTGAATCAGTCTAGTCTGAGGCTACTGGATCTGAGTCTGGATCTGCGTATGGATATGGATCTGGACTCAGTTGTCTTCTTCACTAAAAAACAAACCCTAATGCTCCTTCAATGTTGAAGGCGATGAACAACCAACAAACACCAGCCGACGGACAGCACAATGTCGACGGCCAACAAACAACAGCCACACCAACCTAACGCCAAGAACAACCAGTCGACTACACCTGATGAAGCGGAACCAAAAGCCACCACCAAAGCAGAAGTAGTCGACTACACCTGATGAAGCAAAACTCGATGAACAGCACAACGTCGACCACACCAGTTGACTACCACCACCACCAGACAAGACTACGATGGACAGCACAACACCACCATGAATTCCAGCAGCAATCACAGTGACAATATTCACACAACCGCGAACCAGAATAGTTAAAATTTGTATTGGTTTTGCTTTGATACCATGTTAAGTTGAGAGAATTAACATAACACAATATTAGAGAGAAAGAGAGGTTAAAAACTTAATCTAACTTTCATGCATCACTTGTATTTATAGTTAATTCACAATAATAAAAATTGTACATACACCCTCTGGTATTTACACATAATCCCCTAACACTACTAACAATTTACATATACTACACTAATACTCTTAACAAAAATGATCATTTGCCATATATCTACGTGACGAAGAACCTCTCTTGCTTCGCAATACAAAACCCTCTTAAAGCAACAAGGTGACAATGATACTGTCTAGCAAGAAGTTCTATTTCTTTGCCATCCTCTGCCTGCTCTAAGACTTTATTCATCCGCTTCATTGCTCCCACTAGTCCATCACTAAACTCAGCTTTGAACACAGTTCTGAATCCCCCTAGACCAATCATGGTGCTGAAATTATTGTCTGTCAACTTCTTTGTCTCCTTATAGCTGAATTTTCCCAATATAGAAGATTTCAACCAAAAAAAGGACAAAATTGGATCCAACGAATCCAGCAGAGTGACATAGCTTTCATTATTTCGGTGGCATCCTTCCACATTGGCGAAGAGTGAAGTGCCACAATCCCCAAGCTTCTATTCCTCAACAACCGGAGTAGAGTATTTAGGTATTGGAAAATCGCCTTCAGTTAATGCAACCCTAATACTAGCGGTAGATTAAACTTTGTCACCTTTTGAGCCAAAGTGCAAGGAGCTCTTCAAGAATAAAAACTGAACCTTGGCCTTTGGAGTCAACAACTTTTTGTTCATTTCAGTTCCCAAACGAGAGTTATTTGTTCTCGACTTCCCCCTCCCCCCTCTTTTTTGAGTATTCAATATCTTTGATATGTGCATAACTACAAAGGAGACCAGAACTGTACCTTCCTGCAATTTTGTTTTGGGCTGATGAAGCAGGTCTCGTCAATGGTATTAGAATCCCCCGGCTCTTGGCTTTTTCAACGGCTAAGAACTATCAAAACTACCCAGCATCATAACAGCCAGTACCCAAACTGCTATGCCAACACCTGGGATCATACTTACCGGAAAAAAAAAAAAAACACCTGGGATCAATGTGAGATGGTGATTTTCTTTGATGGGTACGCTCGAAGAGAGCTGACTTGGCTAACCAGCCATTAATTGAATTGGAGATGTCCTATGTGATAGTAAAGGTGGTGGTGGTACTGAAACCAACATCAGAAGCAAATGATTACCAAATGACTTAATACACGAACACATAATATATGATATAGTATACAATAGGCATATAATATAGCAGATGTAGACACTTACAAAGCATGTGACTGAAATGCTAAAAATATGGGCAAAATATATTGTCAGTACCCAAACTATGTGTTCTGCCTCTATTTGGTCCCTAATCTTCTAGTTGTGTCTATTTGGTCGCTTAAGTTTTTAATTTGTATGTAACTGGTCCAATCACAAATGTCCGTCAACAACCATTGACGGATCTACTCATGCGTGTGTGCACGTTTCAGGAGGATATTTATGGACTATTAGGAAAACATAGACAAAACCAGAGGCATTTATGGTCCATTATAACTGTGGTCTCTTGGCTCAAACCATAGCTCATTCACATGGTCTAAACCAAAAGACTTTGAGAATAGATTTCCCTCGAAGAGTGAAAATGAAGATGAAGATATATTGCGAACGAATCAATGCCATTAGAAAAAAATACAAATGCTGAATCAATAATACTTTAGAATGAAGTTTGAAGAGGTTAACAAGTGGGAGAGACGAGCTATATCAAAGAATACAAGGATCAGCAGGTATCTGGGTTAAAGTATGATGCATAATCAATAATCCATTAATCTAACAATAAATTTGGACAATTTCTGGACATTCAAATAGCATTTTCAGGCATTCAGAGTAATGTTTTTGGTACCATTAATATAGGCTAGTAGGCTACAAGTCTTCATTAAAAAAAATTGTTTTCCATTGGGCAATAAACATGCTTACTTGCATAGTATATTGTGTTCCAATAGTTCATGAAATGGCCGAGCCTGTGTTAGGTAATATTTCATTTTGGGGGATGAAATTTCACCCTTTAAATTCCATATAAAACATATATTAATTTTCATGGATCATTGAGACACAACTCAAGACCAAGAGAACAACTGACTTGAAAGAGACACATTTTTCCCTTTTTCCAAGCTAACCAGAACAAATTAAACAACTTACAAAGACAAATGCTAGAATACAACAAAGGCAAAATCCTTTTCACCACTATATCTACGTGCATAAAAATTAAAGGGTAAGATGGCATAATTCTAACCTTTGTCAGAGCCAGCTGTGGCCGGAGACTCATGTATTGAGTCATCTTCTTTATCTAAAGGCATGAACATTTGTCCATAAGTTTCCCCCAAAACCAAAAGTGAGTCATGGAAGAAATCAGTGGAACTGATAAATGATGGAACATTTCCAAATACTCCAAGATGAAGACACGTGTCCTCGGCATCAGCGAATTCTTGTTACTATAATCACGACACGTACCCATCGGATCGCAAGTCCCTGTTTCCCCGAGGTACTGTTCATAGGGATCAATGACACCCAGTATGTTACGTACCGACACGTATCCCTCGGTCGGATATGGGTACATCGGTTCCTACATATACCACTCCCATCGGTACCGAGATGTACCGTTCAGGACGGCGTTCTCTACTCCTACAGAGGTTATTGATGTACAGGTCACTAGCCTGGGCTAGGCTAGGTTAGCATCATGACCTCGTCTTACACAATTGATGTCAGAAGACACAACGAAGGCAGAAGACACAGCCAATGTGGAATGGACGCGTGGCATATTGTGTCACATCAAAGACAAAAAGACCGGATGCCCTTGCTGACACACGACTTGGAAAAGCAGGTATTTAATTACACCATTCCCTTGATGAGACAACATTTAATGTGGTAAGGCTCGGAAGTGAAAGGTAATAAATGTCCCTAAGACCGGACATTTATTACATCCTTGCCGAGAGGAGCTCATTAAACAGTCGGCAGGCCGATGACACAGCCTTGGTTGCTCGGAATCCCGAGCAGTTAAAAGAGAAGACATTCCTCAAAGGAATCAGTGCGCACGTTGCCCGTATCTAATGATCACCTACTGACTACACTGACAGCAATTATGAATTTTTGAGGTATAAATACTCCTCACAAAAGGCAAGACGGGATGCAACAAAAAACCTTTTCTCAAACCTATACTCAGTGTTTTCTTCTTACCCTCTCTCAAAAACTGACTTGATCATCGGAGGGGATACGCCGGAAAACACTCCGGCGCCCTTCTAACTTGTCTTTCTCTGTTCCAGGAACCTCCATCAGCCTTACTGGACCGCTCCCTTGATCCACGAACAGTCACCCATTACCGTTCCAGGCCACCAACGGATCTCAGCCTGTTCCAAATAGTAAAGTTGACCATTTGACTGACTCACTTGAGTTCACCGAGGGAGAGATCTGTTCTCGTGTTTATATTGTGCAAGATCCTGCACGCACAATCTGGCGCCATCTATGGGAAACGACTAGTTTTCTTAGTTTCTTCTCTATAAAGAACAGTGACCATGGTGAATACTCGACAAAAAGAGAAAGGTCCCCAGCAAAGAAGTCTTGAATTACGAGCTCCATGTCATAATGGAGGGAGGGATCACACTGATAGGAATAAAAATACCTCTATTCAGTCAATAGGGCTTACTCCTCAAACCAGTATGGGCATCAGGTCAGGAGGATCCGCCCCTTTGGCTAGTCAACTGGCAGAGGTGATCGAAGAAAAGTTTGGAGATCGATTACGACAGTTGGAAAAAGACAATGTGAACGTCTTAAGCTGGCTCAACGAATTCGCCGCCTCTGGCGAAGGGTCAAGGGACTCATTCCTTTCTCGTGGACTCCCCGCCCGGGAGCGAAAACGAAGGATCTGAGGAATCATTTAAATAACAAGGCAGAAAGCTCCAGGGCCCCAAAGCGACCAAGAGCCAACGAGCATCCTCTTAACGACCATTCCAGGAAGGCAAGACCTTTAGCCCTAGATGACCTCCGGTGAGGATTATCAAGGCGGAGGAAGAGAGATGAGTCCGAGGAGGATTCAACCCTATCCACATGACGCCCATGAAATGGGGGACCTATTGATGAACTCGGAGACTTCAGAAGACATCCCGTTGGGGAGGAAATTGATCTCAGAGCTCGGTTGGAATCCAGGAGAAAGAGTAAGACTGTCCATGATGAGATCGAAGACGAGGTCATACAAACACCCTTTACCAGGGATATCGGAGAGATGGAGTTCCAAAAAAGTTTGTCGTACCTAGGTTCAAACTTATGATGGGCGATCCGATCCCGAAGCCCACCTCAGGCAATATAAGCAAATGATGTCCCTGTATCATTTAGACCAACGGTTCCTCTGCCAAGTGTTTCCCATGAGCTTGGGGGACTCTGTGATGAAGTGGTTCGAGGCGCTTTCCCCCAACAGCATTGGATCGTGGAAACAATTGACGAGGCTGTTCCTGGCCCGATTCATTATAGGGAGTAAGCGGCCTAAAGACGTTGGATCATTGCTAACGCTCAGACGGAGGGAATCCAAGACCCTTCGCCAGTACGTCATCCGGTACTGGAAAGAGGTTAATGAGGTAGAGGGCTGCTCGGAAGTCATGGCAGCAGCGTCTTTCAGGCTCGGCTTGGCAAGGGACATAGACCTGTACCGATCCCTGACCAAAAAGACTCCCTCTAATATGGGCGAGCTGATGGCCCGGATAAACAAGTACTCTAGGGTCGAGGACGAGATGGAAAGCGGCAAAGGCAGAACCCTCCAACCTAAGAGAAAAGAGAGGGAACGGGAGGATACTTCCCAAAAGGGACTGTTACCCCCTCCGGGGGGTCATTCAAAGGAGTTCACACTATGTTCAAAGAACTCATCTACAAGTTGCTCCATAAGATCAAGCGTGAGCCATTCTTCGAGTGGCCGCCCAGGATGCAGAGCGATCCCTCCACCCGTGATCAAAATGTCAAGTGTTCCTTTCACCGGGATTTTGGCCATCGCACCGAAAGCTGCAGGGTATTTAAATCTTTCTTGGAGCCCAAGTTGGAAGAGAGACACACCCCTGTTCGGACCGAGGAGCCGGACAACGTCATAGATGTGATCCATGTATGTCCGCTAGATCGCCCCACGTCCAAGGAACTCGAGTTCGATCTCAAGAGGGTAGCTTTTACAAGAAAGATAGCCGAGAATGATGTTTGGGGTTCTTGTGGTCCCCCACCCCTTTGGACATTTGGATTTGCACCTATATTGTCAAAATTGTCACCCATATCCTCGGGTTGTTCTTGGTCAATATTCATGGTAGGGGCCAAATTTTGTCTAACAAGTCGGTTTCGATCGTTCCGCCTCCACATAAAACAAAATATATACAAACAAAATTATACACAAACAAGATTATGTATACGAAACAACGTACCTCAGCCCATGATGAAGATCATGGGACTTACCTCCGTCGTCCGAAAATCACCTTCTTGGTTTGACACTTGCCTTTCCCGACAACGGCACCAAAAATGCTTGACAAATTTCCTTGTTGTTTTCTAACCTATAAACATCACCTTTTAGCATGTATAGTATATGAATAAAGGGGAGTGTCACTCTCCTAGGGATGATGTCAAAAGAAAGGGCAACGGAATGATGGATGAATGAGATTTCAAATGTGAGTATGTGTGAACAAAAGTGCTCCCCAAGCGCAAGGAGACTTTCGCGGATTGTGTTTTACTTGGTGGTATTCCAAGGTCGTTTCTACGGGGAAGGAAGTAAACCGAGGGGAGGTGATTTTGGGAGAAAGAAAGTGTAAAATCTTTAATTGTTGGAAGTTGTTTGGTGAAGTTGTTTTGATGCTAGTAAAATGAGAAACAAATGTTGGCAAATCCAAGAGGTCACTCCAATAGGAATACCGTCTCAAGTCGAAACTCTCCTCCAATGGAGCATGAATGAACGATTAATTCGTGGGAAGCTAGGGGTAAGATTGGTGAGTATCTAAGCATAAACCGTGACTAGGCCTACGGAATATCAAAAACTCACCAAGTTATCCACCCTCAACCCAGTCAAATCGAACCATTGAAATCTGAAAGAGAGGAGGAGAATGAGTTGAAATGGTATACCCAAGTGGAGGTTCCTCTTGGTTTTGCCAACTAAGAGATTTAGCTATTCATGCTTAAAATAAAGACAACAATATGATGAGAAGACATTATGAAAAAATAAAGACTAAAGCTAAGCATAAACGAATTGCATAAATTTAACTTCCGAATAACCACCTCTTACTAAAG